TTTTTGCACATATTGAAAAAGCTCAAAAATTAATGGGACGATTTCAAAAAGTCTTTAACCATTAAAAAGCTACGTTATCAGTGAGTAACACAGGCTATGTTTTTTATTATTATTTTATTACACGCGGGCGCAGTCGCGAGGTACAGCTAGTTTAGTATAATCGTATTTTTGCGTAGCGACACATCAATTAGTCAAAGGCGGACAGTACGCGACTAAATCCTCTTATCAATGATAAGCTGTTGTTTTGGTACATGTGCAAATCCGCGGCCGAAACGCACTCGACCACCCGCCACTTACCACTCGCTATATCTCCCGCCCACGCCCGCGCCCACTGACAATGTTTATCCTAATTCAGATGTTATATCTCGCTACTGAAGTACGTTACGTTGTTTCTATACTATTGTTACGCAGTGAATTTCCTTATCTATATCTATACTGATATTATAAAGAGGAAACATTTGTATTCTGTATGTATTGAAATAAAAAACTACTGGGTCGATTTTAAAAAATCTTTCAGTTAGATAGATAATTTATCTGCGATTAGTACTTTAACTTCACTCGGACGAATAAGAAATAAAGTAAAGGCCATTAATTGGTAACTAACCATGTCTCTTAATGGTTTTAGTATAACATCATCATCCGCTTGCACTTATCCCTTATGGAGGGTCGGCACAGTATGTGCTGCTCTTCCATACATCTCTATCAGCCGTCATATCTGAATCCACTCCTTTCTTAAGCATATCCTCTTTCACACAATCCATCCATACTTTCTTCGGTCTTCCTCTTCCTTTGTAGCCATCCACATTCAATCTCAACACTTTCTGGTTTATGTCCCCATCAGTTTAGTATAACAAATCTCAAATAATTTGTTTACAAAGACTAGTATTTTAGAACCGTGCGAATTACTGATAGAAATTATTGTTTATTATTAAGGATGCTTACAATATGTATTTTTATATGATATACTCCATTCTCCAAGCCTAATTTACGTCACTTGGCACGCTCTCTGGCAGAGTCGCTCCAGCTGTAAGTTCCGTGGCGCGGCTCCATTCAGTAACTCGTCTATCTCTACGTGGTAAAGATAAACAAACGCGAACTTTTCAATAACATGTTTACTTCAAACCTCCATTCATACAGAACATAAAAGCTTTAAATTTAACTATTTTTTTTAAGTTCGTGATAACTTTTTAAGATTTCAGTTATAAAAAGCTTCCTTAAAATATTCAGTGATGTTTTTAAGATAAATTCCAAGTATTATCACTAAAATTTCAAAAACCATGAACGAAATTTTTTGTACAGATCGGCAGTGAAACTTCACGGTAATTAAGTAAATTCAATGTAAGCCTCCCCGACATTAATTCGTCGAGCCCGCATTGCGCTACTGCATTGCGACGTCTGCCCACCCCACCACACCCTATTGTCTTATATCTGACAGTTTACAGCTGAACCATCCGAATTCATAAAGTGTTTACTTACTATGAACAATACCAGCATTGTTTATCTTAAAATTGCAAACTACAGCTACGAAATAATTATAGCAAATCGTAAACATCGAACAGTTCTTAGTAAAAACATTAATATGTCAACATCGTTAAATATATACATGGAATACTCAATCCTTTCATAATGAACAGAACTCTCAGTAATTCGGAAAAGCTACATTAATATACAATGTTATTAAATCCCAAGCACATTCCACAAAAAATCACGAATTTAAGACATAATTAATTTATAAGGAAATTAGTACAAAACTTTACAAAACACGCAAAAATTTGTCCCCAAATATCAAGTAATTCGTCTGCGGAATTCCGCAGCGCGCAGATTCCGACAAATTCAGCGAACATAAACATGGTGACATGCGTTTATATTAAAATTAACACGGTAGTGGTGCAAGGCACAGGCAACAGGCATCGCAACATTAACGCGGAATACGAATCATGAAAACATGTGTCTTATAACGTGGATTTGACGGCGGAGGAGACACATAGGAAGGGGAAACATCTTTATGTGCGTCTCCTCCCCCGTCGATTAAAGGTAAGCAACGCATCCGCTATTGCGAATGTCTATGGGCAGCGGTCGCTTAGCCATTTTGGCGGATTCAGGCTTGCTCGTTTGCTACTTCATAATATATTTTTAAAAAATTCTAGTTGAAAATATATATGATAAGAACCTAGTTAAAGCTTGCCGCCAATTTACAATAGAAACCACCTAACATCTTATATAGAGTTTCATGACTGTCATCATCCGCTATCGCTCATGTGTCGCACCACACGACATCGCTTACTTTTGGCTATCAGCCAGGGCGGCGAGCGATGCGTCTCCCGGTGCAATCCCCTATCGTACACTTTATGTCCACGTATAAAAGTTTGGGATGTTAAGGGACAGGGTCACTGAACTAAATCAAGTGTGAAAAAATATTTTGTGCTATACTAAGATATATTTCGAGAAGAAAACACATTGAAACATGTATGACAACAGAATAATAGTTAACGAAAGATTTTAATATAATTTTATTTGCTACTTACTATTTTATTTGGTACTCGAGTGTAAAAATCTATTAAAAAGGCGCAAAACATAGAAGTTGCTCTTGACATAAACAGATTATTCTCAGTTGCAAAACTTTCCAGCGCCACTGAAGTGTTATTTAATATCCCCGCTGTCAAACTGTCAAACAGAGAACATCCTCCCCCGCCTGGAGCTTCCCCATCCCCCGGGGTGCAGACCGCTCAGTTCTCCCCCAAACGGAAATGTCTACGTCAGTTACTCGATAACAATATTCAAAGCTGTTTAGTTTCAAACTGTTGGTTGCAGCTATTGTTATAACTTAACGCGAGAATTCTCTGTCAGTTTTATCGTATTTTAATACATTTGTTAGTTGTGTTTAACAATAAGGGTGAGAGGTAAAAATCTACCTAACTGGTCATAGTCTATACTAATATTATAAAGAGGAAAGATTTGTATTTTTGTATTTATTAAACTCAAAAACTACTGGGCCGATATCAAAAATTCTTTCACCATTAAATAGATACGTAATCAGCGAGTAACATAGGCTATATTTTTCATTATTTTTTAAAATTCACACGGGCATAATAAACGTAGAAAGAATTTACCGTCAAACCTATATAGAGGAAATTTCAAACATTTTAAAAATCTTATCAAAATCTACCAGACATATAATACCGTAATTTTTTTGTATGTAAATACATTTTCACGTACATACAGATTATGTATTAATGTTTTATATATCTATCTCCGTGTTACATTGCACCGGAGCCACGCTTAGCATACGACACCTCACCGCTCATTGTCGCCCACATATTGTCTATACACGAACACCCACATACTAACACTAGTGTTGTTAACTGTCGATAAATTAATATTTACTAAATATTCAAAAGATACAGAGATGTAGCACTTATTAAAATAAATCAAATAAAACTGCTAACTTCAAGATATTAAAAATACTTGAATTGTTCTTGACGAAATTCAAATTTGTCTCATATTATCGTAGCTTAATGTAATCAAAATTTTATTGTAGATAAAAGTAAATAAAATATCAACGATGAATATTAACACTAGATAAATATTTAATAAATTACTTCTCGTTTATCGATAGTTACAGAACATCGATAATTTTGTCAATCCCTAGTTGCAGATCCGCATAACAATAACAATCGACAATCGATGATATCAACACTAGTTTTTGTGTACAATATGACATTGTTATGTATCCAAAACGAAGTCAAAATGATGTCATAAAAATTACAATTCGAAAATAATTAACGAGCTAAAAAAAATATAAAATTTGTATGAGAAATACTTTATTTAACCGCTGACCAATATCCCTTAATAAAGTTTTCATACAACCTTATTAAAAATTATAAAAATAATAGAAAATTTTTAAATACATCACCAATACGATACAAAAATCAAATAAGCACACCAGAAATAACAACGTAAATGCCTAAAAATCACTCGATTCACTAAAATATTTTTAATTATCTAATTATAATTTAGCAATACGTAAAATTGTGAAACTGCGATGCGTTCAGTTTCGCTCTCCGCGCTATACTGAAAACGCACACCTTCAATTCGCTGAAGACAACCTACACCAGTTTACACAGACCTTCGTCATACATACATCACCAACGATACGATAGCTCACATTAAAACGGACATAAACTATCCTATCCAAACAATTGATCCCTCCAATTCTATACGTATTCTATAGAACATTATGTCCAATTTAACTTGATCCTTTACGCTGTTGGTTATTGGGCTTGAAATGAGTCTACGTAAAATGGATAATCTCGTATCCATTTATATCTGACCTCTGTTCGACTAGACATCGTGAAATTGTAGTTTTTACATAATATAAGACAAAGGAAAATGAACCATATTACTATAGCCTTATAGATTTTATTACCATGAGATTAATAAATTAGTAAAAAATACGCGACAACGCTTAAGAGATAAAGTTCAAAATATCTATTAAAAACCAGTATTTAGTGATCAAAATTGAACCTTTTCTGATTGAAATAAGGTTAAATTTCGATTGTAAGTTGGATACGTCGTTCTACAGTCTGGACAAACTATACCAAAGCATGAGATAGTTTCAGTGCAGTTAGAGAAAATGTAAAAAAAAAAAGTGTCTACATTTCTGCTATTTGTAGCTTAGGAATTTGGTAGTTTAAACATACAAAATATCGTTTATAATGAATTATTTGAGAAAGAAAATTAAAATCTAAGCTATTTTTTAAAGTAACATTCTGATGGTGAAAGAAATGGTAACAATATATTCGATTGTTAGATCTAGACAGTTCTAGTATATTGCTATATTACAGCGGTGTAAACACGAAACATTGATTTGCCTCTATATTCCCGTATTTGCGAATTCTAGTTGTACATTTGTTTCGCGTCGTTTACTATTGACAGACATGTGAGAGACATAAGACAGTGTGTTAGAGGTAGATGCTAAGGCAGTGTAGTGTGGTACTGACTGGTTGTGGTGCGCGGTGAGTCTGTTGGGGTCTGAGGCGTTGCGGTGTTTGCCGCGACGTGGCGCATCCCGCTCGCGACAGCTCTCCGCACGGTTGACGCCACGCCCGCCACCACCTCCACGCCAACTGTATTACAAATTAGTATACAATGAAATAAAAAAATATACACACCCTTAAAAATCATATTACATGAAATTTAAATTAGCGCCATCTATTGTACGACAACAAAAGCTCAACTCAATTTAACGTTACAAGACTCCAATAGATGGCGCTACTAGTACACAAAACTTACTAGTTTTTCTTAGTTTTTATATCAATACAAACATACTTATGCTCCTTGTCGGGTTGTTCTTTGGCGATATCAGAGTTGTCGGCCTCCGCCTCCGCCGCGCTCGGCTCCTCCGTGGAGCCCTCGCGTCGAGACTCGCCTGTAAATGCAATAATAAACATTTTTAATACAACATTCGTTAAGTATTAAAAAAAAAAAACATATCTCGATATATCTTTCTAGACAATTTTAAATCTACAACAAACAAAGTGAGAAATTGAATAACAGGGCATAAAATCTGACAATAATTACATCAGTGCAGTTACTTTATAAAATATAAATTATTAGTATAACTAATTTAATTCAATAAATACGATTTGACGTATTTTAAAACATCTATCACACGAATTTAGCAGATGTTTGTAATTAAAAAATGAATGGAGTTTTAAAAACACCAACTAAGTGGCGTAATCTTTATTCTACACAATAAACATAATATCGAAACAGTATCCGTAATGCTTATAGAGATGACATCAGTGGCTTAAATCATACCCGCATCAAGCGAGTGTACAGTCGGCTGCATAAATATGGACACACTTACAGGCTTTACAAATTTGCATGGGCTTTCGGTTTCAAAAATATGACTACATGTATCCGTCAATAACCTGTATTTATGGTCAAAAATATAAAATGTATATTGCATACACATTTTTGAAACTACTGGAGGCGTATATAAGTTTTCTAAATGTGTATGTGGCTGACTGTACACTACATATTTATATATATATATATGTGTGTATGTATTTTATGCAAGCTAACAAATAGCAATAATTACACATAATACATCTTTGACGAAGATGTGAACAACTACTCGCCTTTACTAGGCTTGTGTGCAAAGCTTCACTAATAGCTCAACAGATGGCCTTATTTAGTAATTTTTATTAACAACTGACTAGTATGTCTAAATTCATATTAAATATCAATTGTTTGTAATTAACAATTATAAGTCACAGGTGGTTGTAATATGACGTCATCTACATACAAACAAGTACTGTGAAATATTCATATGATAAAACCCATAAGTTTCATCCAACAACAAAAAAATAGATAAACATAATACGTATAAACAATAAATGGTATTATTTCCACAGAAAAAAATACATTTAACCCCCTGAGAGGCGGTAAACGAATTCAAAAACGTAATGTCCAACGTCATAGTAATAATTCTATTTTAAAGAACATTTTTCTTAGACAAAAAGTCATATATTTCACTACGAGAAAAACACAGTAATGTCATTAACACGTATACGTAACGAGGTTGGGATAGTTAACCCGTTCTCATTAACACAAGTTGTAAATAATGCTAAAAGCTCTACTGAAAGAATACGATCGTTTTATAATTTAGTAAGCATTTAAGTGAAAAATTGGCAAATAAATAGTTTGCCAAACTTTCTTGAAATTGACTAGCACAACACTATTTAACGTCACACAATCGATGGCTCCTGCGTAAACTATCGTATGTTTTGAAACGCAAAATTTTGCAAGACAAAACTTTACGATGCATCAACCATGAACATACGAAAGACAACCGAAATCTGCAATCCTTCTTTATTTTGATAATAATTACATATTCACACATTAATTAGTATTTATCAAGTCAATTTTAAAACACACAAGTTGTAAATCGGATAACTGTGGCTTACAATAGTCTACGTAGGAGCCATAGAAATATAGAAAATGTGAAGTTTACGTAAAGTTAGTATAAGTTAGATTTATGAATAAACTTAGTCACATAATGGCGACTCATGTTAATTCCCTTAAATCAACAATACGGGTATTTAAATTAACCATTTTGACTCACAACACTGTAAATAAATTTTCCTATAGTTTGAGAAACGTTTGATCTACTTTGTGTAGGAAATGTCGGTCGAGTCGCAAACCATCGATGTAAAGGAGCGGCTATGACCCAAGAGATAGGAATTTTGACACGAAAGCTATGTTAATAGCATAATATTTACTACGCCTAGGCATTGAATACTGTTTATAAATAAAATTAAGTATTTTGGTTATAGAAAATAATAATAATCATTTATTTCAGACATCAAAGATCCATAAGGTGTTAGTGTAAACTTACAAACATACAAAGCACATACAAAAACACTTTATGAAGAGGGAGAAAATAGTTTTCTTACGAAAAACACAATTATTACTAGCATGAAAAGGTCAAAGTGTTTATTTTTAAACACTTATAGCTAGAGTTACATGACTTTGAATCACGGACCACGGGACGCTGGGGACTGAATCCCTGGGTACGATATCGCGGTCGTTCACTCCACTCTATTGCCCAAATCCCACTCGACATAATTCCAGTGCGGGTTCGACGCCGCACATTTAGGTCGGACGATTGCTATTTGCTAAAACCAACAGCGAAATTTATGTCAAACGCTACTCAATGAGCGAAAACAGGAAATGTGTTTAACATTAACGTATATAAATTGATAAATAGCATATACATTGGAAGCATCACCGAATTACGGAGATTTGACTAAACATAGAGCAAGGAAAACACAATATTTTCTGCAACTTATGGAAAAGATATCAGAGTAAATAGTCATAATTACTGACTCAGTCTCATTTACTAACAATTTAACGTTAGCAATAAATAAATATTAACTAGCTGTTCCCATGCGGCTTCATCCGCAGATGATTATAAAAACTTTATTTTATCGTTTACATTTGTCAAATAATCAATTGCAAATGTCAAAATGCCATGACATGATGTCAAACCATGGCAACCTTGATTCCTTGATGTTGGCAGCAACTTATGGTCTTTTTCCCACAATAGGTTTTATCCAAAATATTTACCCCTAAGTGTAATGGCGTGAAAATATATTGTCTAAAGCGTAATGGAAGTGTAGGGCTTTTTATTAAAAGAAGAGTTATTCAAAAATATGCTGTGATTGCTGACATATTAGGCAACAAAGAAGTGTGTGTTTACGCTTTATTATAATAGTATAGATAACTTTACAGACAAACCTTTCAACCAAGCCAATACTTTTAAGTATGCTGAAGTATTTTAATGCTTTATTATATTGAGAATTATTTAAATGAAACTCATTAAAAGCAATAAAGCCAAAAGCAGCAGGCGCCGGTCGCGATGAGATCGTTTCTGGGAACCTCGGCTGGTACATATTTATTGCCAACATAGCGGCAGATGATATCTGCACACAGAATCTTGAACACCATGTCTATATATAGAGATTTATAAATAAAATAAAATAAATTCGATTTATAAAACAACGGAGAAGAGATTTAAAGATTTCTATTAATAACTATTACTAAAGGTTCACTAAATTAATTAAAAGCCAGCAATCCTTAGATTTCATCTATTCAATTTAGTATTAACAGAATAAAACAGCAAACACTAAACGATTAGAAGATGCGTCAACTGCCTTTTGTTGCCAAAACTTAGTCTATCATTATACAAATGATACACAAGATTAAAATAAACTTGGACAGTGCATCTCAGAGACAACCAAAAATAACTCGAGTCGGGAATCAAACCCGCGCTCGTTGCGTCCAGGAGCAGTCCATGAGTCACTGAGCTCAGAGAACCCTTTGTTTATTCCTGTACTTCCTTTACCAACGGAAGTGCTTTCGCGTAACAATCGGATGACGCGCCAATAAACTAAAGGAAGAGGGGACTTCCCTAATACTTTCCTAATTTAGCTTGCATAACCTTATCCGATTTTATAGCTTCTAATTATACAAATGTATCAATACATATGCCGTTGCCCGCGACTTCGTCAGTGCAATATTAAGATAAAAGTAGCCTATAATATGGCCGTCTGACAATCGGCCCAGCCGTGTCAGAGATTACGCGGAACAAATGCGGTTTGCAGACAAACAGATAAAAAAAATATTAAATACTTCGTTATTAGCTACGCAAAAACATCATCTTCCTGAAGTATGGAATTTTTCTTTTAATTACTAACAGACACTACAATTTTATTATATGTAAAGATATAGATAAGCTCCGTGTGGTTTAAACACACGATTAATTTACAATCTAGAAGTTTAAATTTAAACTTCTCGCTTCATTCAAACATCAAGCACATAAACTGGCTTCAACAGATGTGGATGTACAGCATCGCGATGTATGAGCACAAAAAACAGCAGCCAGTTGGCCCATTGACCGTGTGCAGAATGCGGGCCCCACTGCCACGGGCATATATCAATGGAAAATAGGGCTGCCTACTTGTGTCTAGGTAGACATTTCCAGAATATTCCGAGGTTGGAGGCAAATTGATAAGTTTCCATAAGATATAAACAATGTAGTAAGTTTAACGATAAAATGTTTAGACAAAATAATATTGATTTCGATTAAAAAACCATCCCAGAAAAAAATTATTACTTACTATTTTGCAAAACTAATTTCGTAACTTTCAATTTATTTGATTCCTAAAACTCAAAACTTTTAAACAACCAGGTCCAAAAAATGTTACATTATTTATTATCTACTATTGTATAAATATTACCAACCCTAGTATTTCCAAGTGACATAGACTGTAGCATAAACGATCAAGAATGTTGGGGTCAGGGCCGCGTATGAATGACAGACTTAAAAAAAACTCGCTACAAAGTGGAACACAAGGAATTAACCATCAAGTAAAATTACAACTCAAATCTTTAAAGAACTAATAATCGAACTTAATCCAATTTTACTAGCAAACGTTCATAATAACAACACGTTCTAGGAAACTATACGTTTGCATCGCATTACTAATCGCTAATAAACCAAGTCAATTCCAATCACATACAATTGTACGAAGCAAATTTAAGTCACACAATAGAACCAGCTTACAATCAAGAGACTAATTATAAATCCGCAGCAATTAGGACTACAGACAGCCGAATCAAAACTCAAAATACAGCAATAACTGTAGAAACACAAGCCAACGTCGCCCATTTTATAGCATTTCCAATCGTTTTATTGCTTTTTGACCGTTTTATTTTGCACGACCGTTTGGAAGCGACACGTGTGAGCGATCGCAGACTTTACAACTCACAGAATAGTTTACTTCGAGACATTGTTTTCGGACACGGTTTGTGTAATAAATTTCGCCTTTCATGTTTTCATCCAGATTTTATTTCCACGTG